AATGTCCTTTTTTTTGGAAAAAAAAAATCCCAGTTTCTGTGCGGGCAGAACAATTCCTTCAGCCTTTCCTCCATCCTCTCAGGGTTCCAGCAGCTCCAGGTCCTGCCCCAGAAACTCCCAGAAGGAGTTGGGGCTTCTCTGCTCCTGTTTTTTAGTGCTCCAGAAAATCTGTTCAGGTTTCGCAGCAGAGTCTCGTGGTTCCTGCTCGGAAAATGTTTGGAGCAGGGAAAATTCCCTCCCTCCCTCTTCCCATTTCCCCACTGTTGGGGAAATAATAATTATTTTTTTAATTAAACAAAAAATATATATAATTTTATATATGCAACTATATATATAATTTATTATATATTAAATATATATGCAATTTTATATATACAATTATATATATATAATTTATTTTATATATCCAAACTAATCGGAATACTGGGAGATTTCAGTAGGAAAAGGGCTCATGCTCCATCCCCCTTTCCCTGAAAATCATTGAATTGCCCATTTTTATTCCTATTTCCCATTTTTTAATAATTCATCCCATTTCTCTCTGGAATTATTCCTGCAAAAATGGGTGACTCTGCAAAGTTCCCGAGGCAACGCCAGTCCCCGGGAACAGCCGCGGGACGTTTCAGATTAAAGGATTTCAAAGCCCTTTGCCAACTCTCATGAATGATTTATTCATGTCAAACACTCATTAGCAGCTTTTAGGGATGCAGCAGGATTGCAGGATCACAAAGAGAGTCACAAAGTCACCCCGAAGGACCTGGTAATGGACATCCTCTGGTCATAAACAGATCTTTTTAAAATATATAAGAAAATATAAAATAAAAATAAATCTAGTAAATGTATTTATTTATCGATTTTTTCATTTATATTTATATATTTTATATAAATTTATTTATATGAAAATATAATATATAAAAACAAAAACATAAAATATAAAATTACAAAAATATAAAACTCTAAAAATATAGAAATATAAAAATGTTTTAAATCATAAATTATAAAATATATAAATATAAAAATATAAATATACTTTAAATCTATCATATATGTATAATTATTCATATAATGCTATAAATTTAATAAATTATAGATATTGATTATATTTATCATAAATAATACTCTATTAGCAGTACACTAAATAATAAATAACAACCATATTTGTTATTGCAAATATAATATTAATAATGATAAATATTTTCTCTGGTTTGATTTTGATATGAAAACTTTGGTTTTTTACTTCTGCCCAATTTCCTAGGATGGGCAAATGCTGGAATTTTTTGCAGAGAAAACCTGGACATTGGACAACACTGATTCCTCAGGAATTACACAAGCAGGGACTAATTTTTAAATCAAAATGTGGAGATCATTCATGGTTAATTTTGGATATAGGGGAAGGGGCTCAGAGCTGAATTTTTTCATATTGATAAAGGAATAAGAAATAAAGAACTTTGATTAAGATTTAATAAAAATTTGGGCCTTGTCAGGAGAAGGAGAAAAAAAAATGGATTTTTTTCAGTTTAATTCTGAGCCTCAGAGTCCAAAAAAGACAATTATTCTGGAATTCTAGGGAAGCACCAGGAGCAAAGTGGGAAGGTCAGAAATGCAAACGGGGCCAGCGTGACCCACAAGGAGAGAATGCACAACTCAGTCCTAAAAAATTAACCTGGAATTAATTAGCACCTCACACACACACACACAAAAGGCTTAGTTAACATTTCAATTAATCGAAGAAAATTCCACAGCTTCACACTCCTGTTTTTATTATTATTATTTTTTTTTATTTGCGTGGTTTCCTCCCTCTTTAGCTGTTAAAAAGCAGATAAATCCACACTGATGAGATTATTCCTTGGCAGCGCGGCGTTTCCTACGGGGGCATTTTTGGGGCAGGATTTTCATTAAAAAGGAATTATTTTCTGCCTGAGGATCATTACCCCATCCACGGGAGCAATTTGCAGGCCCCAGTAATTGCAGATTTCTTAAGTGGCAGCTTTAGGTTTCGAAAGACATAAACAAAGGCCGGGGCTTTAATTAGGGATCAGGCCTTGGAGGCCTCCAGCAGCTTCTGCAAACTCAGCACTTTTTTTGTGGGGGAAAATGGAAAGAAATCAAAGTTTGCTGCTCGTTCCAAGGGAGAAATTAAGGATAAAAATGTTGTGCGGGAGGGCGGGAGGTTTTGCAGGGAATCGTGGATTCCCCATCCCTGGAAGTGTCCGAGGCCCGGCTGGATGCGGCCTGTGCTCCTGGGAGGGCTCGGAATGAAATTATTTTAAATCTCCTTCCACCCAAACCATTCCAGGACTCCCAAAACAGCACACGGAGAGAACGTGGCTACGCAGGGCACTTTGAAAACAAAATTATTTATTCAAATAAAACCCAGGGCTGTGTTTACTGGCGCAGATTTCCAGGCCCCAGCTGGAAAAGCCATTTCAGGACACATCCCAGCTCCTCCTTAATCCTGCCAGGCTTTGGAGCTCCCAGTCCTCCATTCCCAGCTCCATCGCGCTGATCCCGCGTTTGGGGGTTCTCCTTCCCCCCGCGGATCCCGCGGAACCGCGGCCGAGGCCTGCAGGAGCCGCTGGAATTCAAATGTGGAATTGAAATAAACGTCAGCCCGGTTCACTGCGGGTTCCTCCGGCTGCTCCCGGGGTGACCTGGGAGGATTCATTTGCCTCCTGTGCTTCCCTAAACCCAGATAATAACTGGAATTAAAATCTGCCAAAGGCGACGGAAAATCCGCCTGCGAGGGAAGGGCCGAGGAGGTTTTTTATAGAGGGCCCAAAAATGCAGAGGGAGCAGAAATCCCCGCGAGTTCCAGAATGTTCTACAGCACAAGGGGCTGGAAAAAGGGGAGGGTTCACAGAATCCCAAGCAAAGAGCTCCAAGGTCATCAAATCCAACCTCCAATGGATAAACCATCAGGTTTAAGTTTATCTGCACTTGGCAGCACATCGTGTGAATTTTTATATAAATACAATTAATAATTGTCTTTAAAAAGTGTTGAGTGGTCAATCGGCAAGAACCAAATCTTAGTATGTGGGTTCCGAAAGGAAATAAAATATAACTATAAATATAAATGAAATATAAAATATATTTTTATATATCTACATATATATAATATAAATAAAACATAAAAAGTAAAAAAACCAAAAATATATCATATAAATAAAATATTAAAAGTACAAAACCCCAAAAATATATACATACAGAAATAAAAAATATAAAAATATAAATATATATCCTAGATATAGATGTAATTATAGGCAATAAAAATAAAAATTAAAACATTTATAAATTAAAACTATTTTTTAAAATATTAAAATATAAAAATATGCATTAGCGTCCCTTTATATCTTCAACTGAATTAATTTTGTGGAACAGCTTTCATATAACCTAAGGCTGGTTAATTGGAGTTAAATCCTGGGGCATTCCCACCTGCCTTGGACACTTCCAGGGATGGGATATCCACAATTCTCATTCCTCTTTCCCAGGATTCATATCCCAAGCGAGGTGCCAGGAAGTTGAGCTGCCTCCCTTCGTTCCTAATTATTATTTACTCTCCATTTTCCCTCCCAGCATAAATTATCTGCAGCCAGAGAGGGGTCCTAAGGCAAAAGCGTTTGTGGGCACTCGGGAACAAAAAGGTTCGTGCTGATCCCAAGGGATTTGTGCAGATTTGGGTGTCAGGGACACGACACGGAGGTGGAATTGTACTTTTAAGAGTGTCCCCGAATATTTAAGTGCGTCCCATCCCGGTATTCCAATAGGATTTCAATCTAGGACAGCTTTTATGTAGTAAAGAAATAAAACTGTCTGGGGACTGTTATCCCAAAACGTTCCTGCCTCGCTCAGAAATCTCTTTCTCTGGGAATCCTGATTTGTGTCTTTAATATGATTTTTCTGTCGTTGATTTCCTCTTTAGAATCTTAATAAAAACATTTTAAATCCATGTCTGGTTCACTCAAAAAAGTTGATAAACTACCCACCGCCATTTTCTCCAGTATTTTAATGGTTTTATATTAAACTCACATCCCTAATTTGTGTTAAATTAAGTTTTCATCAGGACAGAACAATTTCTTGCCTACTTTTGCCCCCCACCTTAATTCCGTCCCAGAAAATCTGGGTGGTTCCAACTTTCCCTTTCCCACAATTTTATCCTTTCCAACCCAAAAAACTGGGGGAGAAGGGGGGAAAAAAGCCCCAACAAACAAAACCAAGCCCGAGTGAGGCTCGGTGATTTCACCTTGAGTCAGGAGCCAGAACCGTGGGTGGGATTTGGGTGCCTTTAATTGCGCTGGGGTCAAACCCCTCAAATCCCGGGAGCAAATCCCGGGAGCAAATCCAGCTGCTCCTCTTAAACCCCATCCCAGGATTTGGAAGGAGCGGATGAAGATAAGGCTGAGCTTTCCCCGCGGGTTGTTCACTGTTCAGGTGTTCACTGACGCCGTGGAATTGAAGATTTCTTGAGAATTCGTGGGGTTTATCGAGAATTCTGGAGTTGTGAATTTATTCTTTCTCCTTTTCCGTGGGTGTCCGGCTGTGCAGGGGTACAGCTGATGCCCCCGGGAGTGTTTTGGGAATAATAAAAAATCCCATCCGCACTGGGAAATTATAAAAACAATGCTGCTCCCTGATAGGAAATGATGCCACTGCAGCTCCCTTTCAGAGAACCTGAGAGGGAAAACCCGATGCCAATAAAAGAACCCTTGATCAAGCCCCGAAATAACTGAAATGTGGTTAATTAGCAGCAGATCGAGCCCTATTTTTGGCCCTTGAAAGGACAAAGTGAATCCTGCCCGGAGGGCGTAGCACGCTCTGGGAAGCTCCGGGAGGGAACAAACACAAACAGGGAGCAAAACAGTTTCATTACTCGCAGAAGTTATGCAGGCAGCAAAGTTTGTTTTGCAACTAATTAAGACTTCATGCAAAGAGGGTGTCACATCCTCCAGGCGCTTTGGGGACGTGTATAAAAGCATTTGCTACGTAGAAGCCTCCCTAATCACTTTTCTTTTCCTCTCCTCCTTGGGTGATCCGGGTAAGTCAATTTTGAGTCAATTATTGAATTTTAAATCAATTATTTTGTATTATTATTATTGTTATTGTTGCTATCTGAATATCAAATGACAGGGAGAGCTCGTGAAAGGACAAGGGGGTGTTTTGACAGAAAAAGCCTTTTTATTATCCTTTAGTTTGGAGTTAATTGAAGTTTTACACTCAGCTCATGGAAATTAGGGAGGGCACAGAAAACTCCCTCTGAATCCCTAAAGAGTCTCAATAATTCCATGGTGCTCTTTTCATATTCTAAAGAGTCAGTGTCATTAAAGAAATGATCATTTGAATTTTAATTTCTACAATGTTCTCACCCTCATCTGTCTTCCAGGAGGCTCCGGTGTTAAGTTGGAGAACTTGCCCTAAATATTTTCCCAATCCTTCAGAGAGCAGAACACAGATTTTCCTTACTCAAAATCTACTTTACTGCTGGCTTTGGTTAAAATATATTTATAGTATTGAATTCCAAATGTAGCAGGAACATCCAAGCGCTCCTTTTTTCACCTCCTTTCAGGAGTTCTGGGATGAGACTTTAGAAATCATGTGGAATCACTCAAAGATCCCAACCCCCAGACCAATCTTCTTTTCCCAAAGCCAAAATCAGCCATTCCACATCCAGCTTTTGAGCTGGAAAAATCCCCGGTGATTGCCTTTTCTTCACTTTCAAGTCTAAGGAGATTTGACTTGAATCAGCTGGGGGGGGGAAAAATCAGATATTTTAACTCAGAGAGGTTAAAATGGGATGTTCAGGTGGAGACGTGAGAAATCCACCCTGGATGTTGTCTCCCCCAGAAATTCCTGGAGTGAAGTCGGGACTTATTTAGGGAATGACCCCAAGCCCCGCTTTTGCCAGCCCTTAATTTCTCCCCCAGCAGCTCCACAGAGGTAAAATGAGGAAAATGTGGAAAATTATCTGTTCTCCCTCCATGTTTTCCTTGCCCAATCCGTGTGGGCACAATCCAGGGCAAGCACAGCCTTCAATCCATAATTAAACCATGCCCAAAAAAATCTGGCCTCGATATCAGGCTGGGCTTAAAGCGATCTGGGATTTCAAATATCCAGCTGGTCCCTAATGAGACCCATAAAAGATGGGTGGATCTCACTGCTCCACTTGGAACAGGGTGGGAGGAGGACACGAGCTCCAGCCTCCACACTGGGGGTTGAAACGAGGATTGAAACCCGAGTTTAAACTCTGGGTTTGAGCTGGGGGTCGTGGTTTTCCGCTGGCAATAAGAGTGGGATGGACACAGCGATAATCCTGGGAAGAGAAGCAGCAGGATAAAAGCTTTTTGGGGTTAAAATGATGATGGTCTGGAAAATATCATTCTATTGAAAAGCACAAAATCAATCAGGAAGAAAAGGGGTTCCTGGCTAGAAAACTAAACTGAACAAATTCAGCTCCCATCCGAGCTCTCTGTAATTCCCAATTTCCCGTAAATCCCCATAACCGTGTTACCAACACCCCAATATTTATCCCAGATATTTCTCACCATGCCAAGGACAATTTTTTCTCATTTTTCCATTTTTCCTTTCTCAATTCCAGGCCAAATCCAACTCCCACCTGAGCTGCCAATTTGCCATAAATCCCCATAACCGTGTTACAAAAACCCTGATATTTATCCCAGATATTTCCTGCCACACCGAGGATGGGTTTTTCTCATTTTTCCCACTTTTCCTGATCAATTCCAGGTCAATTCCTGAATTACAACTCCCACCTGAATTCCTGCTCAATTCCTGCAAAATTCAACTCCCACCTGAGCTCCCAATTTGCCATAAATCCCCATAACCGCGTCACGAAAACCCTGATATTTATCCCAGATATTTCCCACCACACTGAGGATGTTTTTTCTTATTTTTCCCTCATTCCTTGCTCAATTTCAGGCTAAATTCAACTGCTACCTGAATTCCTGCTCAATTCCTGCAAAATTCAACTCCCACCTGAGCTCCCAACTTGCCGTAAATCCCCATAAACGCGTTACAAAAACCCTGATATTTATCCCAGGTATTTCCCGCCACACTGAGGATGTTTTTTCTTATTTTTCCCTCTTTCCTTGCTCAATTTCAGG